GGGGGAGTATCACTTCTCTGGACCGGCTTGAGATGCACCTTTGGATGCATGACAAGGTATGGCTGGCTTTGCTGGCTGCAGTCTGGCATTGACAGCTCATGTTCATCTTGGAGTCAATAATAACTCCAAGATCCTGTTCCGCCTCTGTACTTTCAAGAAGGGAGCTCCCCAGCCTGTATGCATGCTGTGGATTCCTTCTCTCAAGGTGTAGCACCCTGCATTTGTCTACGTTGAACCCCATCCTATTCTCATCTGCCCACTTTTGTAGTCTGTCTAAATCTAGTTGCAGCCTCTCTCTCCCTTCAAGAGCGTCCACCTTGCCCCACATCTCTATTCTTCCAGTTTATCCTCTAAACAAGAAAGACATCTTTCTAACCTATTCTTAAAAAACCTCCAATGAATGGAATCCCACAGCCTCTCTAAATAATGTATTCCAATGTTTTTTGTCCTCTGACTGTCCTCTTAATTACAACCTTTGAATATTATCACCAAAGTTACTCCTACTCCTGTACTTTTTTAACTAAACAAACTTTCTTTCAATCTCTCCTGCTAGGTTATACTTTTTAACCTCTTTCTTATTTGTGTTGTATCCTTCTGGATTCTCTAATTCATCAAAACTTTTCTTAAAAGTAGAATGTTGAAAACTGAACACAGTTCTCTTACTGAGCCCTCACCAGTGCCAAGTAAAGCAGAATAATTACCTTCTATGACTTATATCAAGTTAAGTATCACATATATCCCAGAATAGCACTTGCTTTTTTTTTGCAACAGCATCTGAATCTTGACTCAGTTCAGTGAGTGGTCCACTCCGAGCTTCAAAGCATTTTCTCCATTACTGCTACCTAAACAAGGGGTGCTCAGAATTTGGCCTGCAGGCCAGATCTGACCCCTGGTGCCTTGTTATTTGGCCCATGGAGCTTGTTATGGCTGTGGATAACCCTGCAGGCCATGGCCCTGCATGCTAAATCCAGTTCACAGGGCAGCATGAGGCCTGATCCCAGTGTGTGGGGCCAGGCAGAGGTGGTGTGTGCAGGGCTTCTGGCGGGGAGGAGGAGGTAAGTGGCCCTGATCTGGGCATGCTAGTCTGGGTGGAGTTAGTGTGGGTCCTAGGGTCCTGATCTAGGCACATGGGGCTGGGAAGAGGCAGTGTGGGGTATCAGGGATCTGATCTCTGCACACAAGACCAGGTAGTGATGGTGCAGAGTCCTGGAGACCCTATTCCATCATGTAGGAGTAGGTGGGGGTGGCACAGGTTCCCAGGGCCCCACTCCCAGCATGTGAGGCAAGTCAGAAGCAGTGCAGTCTGGATCCAGGTGTGCAGGCCCAGTCCTGGGGGATAGCACTCAATCCAGCCTGCAGTCCACTTCTGCACCACTCATTTGGCCCATAAGGCCAAAAAGTTGAGCACCCTGGCCTAGACCTTTATTACGACTTGGTACATTTGATTTTTTTTTCCTCCCAAAGTATAATGCTTAGCACTAGTTATTCAATTTAATTTTGTTAATGTCATACTATTTCCCCAATTTGTTAGGGTCATTTTGAATTCAAATCCTGCTCTTCAAAGTGCTTGCAGCCTCTCTCAGCTTGGTTTTACCTGTCAAGTTAATAAGTGTAATTGCTATTCTAGGGGTTTTCAAAAACCTGTCCACAGGCCAGATGCATAGTGCCATATGTAGCCATCTAGGTGCATGGGGCCCAATCCAGGTGCTTTGAGGCAGGATCTGGGCACACAGAAACTGATTTGGATGGCATGGGGTAGGGTCTAGACTCATAGGGCCTGATCTGGGCACCCATCCCACTGATCTGGTCTGTGGATTGGCCCCATGCCACTCACCTGACTAATAAACGCTGCCATTGCTCCCCTGCTGCCAGATTTCCAGACCTGTGGGGAGCTCTGAGGGCCAGGTGACACAGCCCCACGTGCCAGATCATGCTAATCACTCTGTGGCTGGATTCACAGCGGGTACAAAGCCAGGCTAGTGTGTAGGGTTGCTCCACAGCTAGATTCAGTGCACGGGGCTGGGCTAGCACAAGGGGTTGCTCTGCAGACACATCTAGCATGTGGAATTGGGTCAGCACCTGCAGATAGACCCCACATACCCACTCCATGCTGAATCCAGCCCACAGATTGGTCCCATGCCACTCATCTGGCCACAGGTCAGGAAGGTTGATCATCCCTGTCTTAAGCCAATACCTTGAACTGTCCTTCTGCTTTTCTTACTAGCTATGCTTACTTTTTTCATCAACTATTCATTATTTTGCCCTTTTGGATGTTTAATCTACCTTCTTTTATAAATATTTAAATTAAACTTTTTGTAACTAAATCTTCATTACATAACTCCTGAAGATGCAAATGTTTTTAGATTGCACTGATTATTACATGCGCTGCTGGGTAGTTTCATAGTTTCATAGTACTTTGGGGTCAGAAGGGACCTGAACAGATCATCTAGTCTGCCCCCACCGTCACTGGCAGTAGCACACGCTGGGATCACATGACCCCAGACAGGTGTTTGTCCAAACTCTTTTTGAATTTACCCAAGGTAGGAAGGAGGACCACTTCCCTAGGAAGTTGGTTCCAGATCCTAGCCACCCTAACAGTGAAATAGTGCCTCCTAATCTCTTACCTGAACCTATTCTCCAGCAGCTTCTGACCATTGTTGCTCATCACCCCAGGTGCTGCTGTGGGGATAGGGCCCTTCCTCTTTGCTGCTGATCTCCCCTTACGAGTTTGTAGGCCGCCCCCAAATACCCGCTCAGCCTCTGCTTGCTGAGGCTGAACAGGTTCAGGTAATATTCATTAATAGTAACATTAGTATAAGGTTGTGTCTGCAAACAAGATCTTCCTGCCTTTCCAGAGAGGAGATGAAGGACCTATGATTAGTTCACAAATTGACAGTTGGATGTACTTAGCATACGCTCACAATAATACTGTAGCTGAAAGTTCCCACTTAAAATGATCAGATGTGCAAAAGGATTCCTTTCCTTTTCCATGTCCTTGTAACAGAGTATTTAGCAAAAATTTCAGATTTCACTGCAATCTGACAGGCCATGCCATGAGTGCTCCTGCTATGGCCTCAAACTTGTGACCTTAGCACCCATGTCACACCAGCACCCACATAAAAGGGTGAATACTTTATTAAGCTAAACTGGCAGATTGCACATTTCCAAGGTACCATTTCTGTCTTTCTGCTTCTTAAGACATCATGGGCATGTCTTCATGAGATATGAAGCCTACCTGTGAGTTACGAACTGCTGGGGTAGTCCGGACCACCTATAGAGAGGGGTCCATTGCTTTGGTTTTGGGTTTTGTTTTCAGACTTGGTTATCTTGGAAATTGGATTTTTTGGCACATTTTTACAGATTTGTATTCTGGATTTGAGTATTAACGAAAGGTAACTGACTTTAAGCAGTAAGAAAAATACAGGAGACGGAAGTTAAGATGTTCAAAAGGAAGACAATAAAGAGTGAGGCAGATGTCAAAGATGTCAAAGATCTCCTACCTACATACCTGCAAGATATGAGTCTTTTAAAACAAGTGCTGCAGTGATTTGGACATAGCCCATGGACCAAGCAGTCAGTAAGAGACTCCTGTACCATTGCAGATTTAAAAAACAAATTTAAGAACTTTGTGCAGATATATAATATACCACCACACTCCATGAAAATGGAGGCTGCAGCAATGTTGCTTTTATGGGAAACTACTAAAAATCTGTTCTTCCGTCTAACTAACTGTTAGCAGGCATTTTAAAGGGGTTAGCTAAAATTTGTAGTAAGGTAAAGTTGTATGGTAATTGTGACTAGGGTTGTAAGTTTTGTGTAGGAGAGGTGGTTTGTTACTGCTGACCAGAAAACTTTGTTTGCCTGGGTCAGGCAAAGTAGTGGACATGAGTACATGCTGTGGTCCACTTGGAATTAAGTAAGAAACTCCTGTTGTGTTTGCAGTAAGAAACTAGGAGAGAGCAGAGAAAGTCATCTCTCTGCTGGAAAGGCTGTGTAAATGACAGGGTCCTTGGGAAGGGTTAGTCTTTTATGGATGGTTACAAAAGCAGTTGTGTGTTTTCTGTGAAGTTTGTAAGGTGTAAGTTACAAGTGCAAGTTATGGCAAGGTAAAGTGTTATGTAGGCAGTGGAGCTTCAAGAAGATCAAAGAGAAATGTAAGACAGATCCTGTGCGCCCAAAAAACCAACCAACCAACCAACCAAACCAGAGGCAGCCAGTGGCACAGAAAGAGACAAGGTATGTTACTGGAAGCAGTGGCAGATAATTTGTAATTGGAAGTAAGGGGAAACTTGGTTCTTCCCCCTGCCTCTCCAGGAACAGTGAAGGGCCTAGAAGAAATAGAGATTGTTACAAGAGCATAACAGCTTGTTTTGGGAAACACCAGGGTACAGCTGTGTAAACAGAAATCAGTGCCCAGAATTACTTTGAGTTACTCTGGGCAGGGAAAAAGGAGTGAGCTTATCAGAGGCATGTTTTGTGTTTTTCTCTGCGGAGGCATAGTTTGAAGGTTCCTTTTTGAGGTAGGAAAAGTTTTTCTGAAGCAATTGTGTGTACTGTGCAATTCATCGCCCGTGGTCTTTTGGAGGGTTCTAGAATAGAGCTTACTGGACTGTGTCTCTGTGAGGAAGAAAGACAGAGATTGTTTTGGTTTGTAGAAGGCAAGGCCAGCACAAAGTGTGCAGCTGTAAGAAAGGGAGAGAGAAATCAAGATTTGCTGGATAGATTGGTTTGCAGAAAGCAAGACAAGAAGGGGCCACTGATGAAAATGGCTTGTGAAGCCTGTAGCCTAGAAAAGGTTATGGTTAAGATCTGTTAATGAAAGGAAAACTAAAAGTTAGGTAAGACCTAGAAAAAGGAAGTGTTGGAATTCTAAGGGGTTGCTAGAGAGAGAGATCTGCTGGAGAAAGTATGCCATCAGAGTTAAAAGAGAATTGCTAGATCCAAAGACCTGCTGAAAAGTGAGAGATCTCTGGAGGTGTTTAAGAACAGACTCACAGAGCACAGAAAAGAATTAAAAGTAGGTGCTAAAGAGCAGAGCCCAGCCAAAGTTTGTGAGAGCATGGAAAGCCAGGGACTCAGTCTGAAAGGTGGGTGAGGCAGAGTCAGTGACTTGGAGTCCAGGAGGGGTTAAATCAGGAGAGAATAGAAGTGGATGAGCCCAGAGGTGCTGAGGGGAGCTGAGAAAGAGAAATCTGAGAGGGGTCTGCAGGGCCCTAAAAGACCAAGTGATCTGGCAGTCCAGAGAAGGGGCACAGAGAAAAGATCACTGTTAAAGCTGCCAGAGCTGCAATTTCAACTAGCCCAAGGAGGGGCCAAGAAGCCCAAAAGTGAGAAAGTGTGCCCATAAAGATTAAAGAAGACCATAGCAGGAGAGTAGAAAGTTTGGTCCTGGGTATGACCTAAAACTGCCACCCTCCTGGGTGTGGTTAGTGTGGTGGAGCTACCTGTAGTAGGGTAGTCTCTGCAAAATGCCACATAATAATCACCCTGGGGAATGGGCAGGGGCAAATATAGGGCACCTTAAAACCCTAGCTTCCACTGCCTTGTGGGTTACCCTTAATTGGGAAAAGGCTAGGGGGAGCATCCCCCAACAGAAAAACCTTTAGTAACAGCCAAAGAAAAGAATAGAGGAAAGTAGAAAAATGGGCTGGGAGGCAGCTGTTATAGAGAGAGAGATGTGGAAAGTGTTTAGAAAGAAAGGAAGGAAAAAATAAGATATTAACAGAGTTTAAATGCTAGAGCAGGTAGGAAGAAAGGGTAAGAATGTAATTTTAAAAATAACTGCTTTAAAGCAGGGAAAAAATACAGTTGCTTTAAAAAAAAAGTTAAGTCCTGATCTCCGAGTGCCTGAGGTCATGTTGTGGTCTGTTTGGGTTAAGTACAACAACTTCTCATTGGTCCAATAAGAAGTGTTGTATGTTTGTTCTGTGTGTGTATTGCAAGACAGGAAAACTGATAGAAACAAGTATCTGCAATCTCATTGGTAAAGAGGGTGAGAAATGTTTTTTTTTAATATCCCCTCACTCTTCAGAAATAGTGTAAATCTTTTAGAAAGGAAGGGGTTAACTTGTTAAGGTAAAAAAAAAGGGTGTTTATAAAATCTTGGTACACCTCAGCACTGTAAATGTGTAAATATAAATAATATTTTACTGCAAGGAGTTTTCCTTGGCAGGTTGGTGTGTGTTTGTTGTTGTTTTTCTTTTCTATCTCTCTTTTGCAGAAGCTATAGTGTAAAATCTAATCTAGTAGCAAACGTAACTAAAAAACTCCGAAGCCATCAACAGTGTTTTCTTCACCTAAGCCATGGTTTTATCATCACAGCAAAATTGTTTTGTCTGTCTGTTTTGTGTTGTTTCTCCTGTTGTGTTGTTTTTGTTTATTTAATAAATTAGTTTATTTTAAGTTAGCAAAAGTTTAAATGTATATAAATATCATAAAACATACTAAACATTATTAGTAATATTCTCTCTAAAAACAAAATCTGTCAGTGAATCCCAGACCAGAACACTTCTGTCCAGTTGGACTAGAAAGTTGTTCTAATCTTTGAAACAAAAAACAGCAATTCATATAAAAGTTTTAAGTTGTAAAGTTTACTTGTTTAGCAAAATGGCATTTAGTTAAAAAAAAGTAATATGTATATGTGTGTGTTTAGTAAATAACCTGATAAATGTTTTTTAACGCTATAAAAGAAATCTCATTTGTATTTAAATACTATTTATAACACCAATATAACAAGATGTGTGTAAAAACTGTATTAATCCATTGTTTTATAGAAAAAGTTAATAAACCTAGCACCTCAGTATTTGCATAAAGAGGTAAGGAAACTCTTTATTAATTAAAGCAAAATACAAAATGGACAGCCCATGAAGTTGGTAATGAACGTGGATCAATTTAATGATGTGTGAGATACCACTAACTATGACGTGTATAAATGGTTGGCACAATTAAAAAAGAAAATTGGCAACCCATTTTATGGGAAATTAAGTGAATGAACTCTGCATAGCCTTTATGTATAAGTGTGTATAAAATGGTGAATGGTGAAAGAATGGCATAGAGACAGAAGAAGAAGATTTAACTGCTTATGTAAGCAACAAGGCACCAGATGAATGTGTGAAGAATCCCTTTGAAGCTCGAGGCTACAAAGGAGATAACAGAAGAAAAAATACTGCCATGTGGGCAGCAAAAACACTCCAAGGCTAAGATAAGCTGAAGACAAAAGAGGAAGAACGGCAAAAATAGAAGCTAGGTATAGAAAAACCGCAAAGCACTAAAACAAAGGATGCCAATCCCTATAAAAGAACACTTTGAAAATGCCAAGTTGGGTGAGTCTCTTTCTCTACTGCTGTTTCATCGGAGCACAGATGAATCTGTTCATCCCACTCCAGCTGTTATCTTCAAATCTGCTATCTTCAAATCATCATCATGTACTCAATAAGCCCTGGTTGGCCACCCTGGGCTGATATTGAGCAACTATTGCTGGTAACTATATCTGGTGTATGTGTGGATGGAATGGTTGTTTTGTTTAAATGTATGCCTGTGTGTAATGATGTGTATGATGATTTGTGTGTGTTTGTATGAATGGTGTATCCAAACCTCTATGCCTAACTCATGTAATCAATAAACGTGACATTCTGCCCTATCCCCCTTTTCAAAGGCTCGCTCGTGATTTGAGCAGTTGGCAATTTGTGTAACACCATGACATGTATAAACATCCAAAATAACACTCATGTAAAAATGTACTTCATTAACCCAATAATTTTATGGAACATTTCATTCTCATTCCCTCTTTCTATTATTTGTTTTCCTAGCTTATAAACCCTTGCATTTAGATGGGTGCTATTATAACATTAAATACTACAGTAATTGTCATGGACTAAATCAAATAGGGTATGTCTGCTCATAGAATCCCCCAAAAGTACCCTAAAGCAGGTATGGCCAACAGCAGCACACATGCCACAAGTGGTATGGGCAGTTGCTGTGTGTGGCATGTGAGCCTTAGGCAGTAAAGGAAGGCACTAGAATGGAGGCAGGGGGACTCAAGACCCTGGCCATGTGCCATGGGGGGGGGGGAGGAAGCAGGATACTGCTGTGAGAGGTGTTAGGTGTCACTGCCAAGAGACAGGCTAATCCTTCCTTGGCCCTGCAGCTGTCACCAAATTCAGGGCTTTGGATGCTTGCCAGGGTTGCCAAGTGTCAGTAAATGTACTGACTGTCATTAAAAAAGGAGGCTAAAAATGGCTGTAAAAAACTTTAGCCATCAGTAAAAACACTAAGCAGCTGCCACTTAATTAAAGCTCTAACAGACAGACCAGCAGCACCACCTTATGTCAAAGTGGGAGTGCAGCACCCTGCAGGAATCATTCTCTTAGCCATGTGCTACTGCTACTGCATCCCGGGCTGCCTGTAATACTGCTGGGTCACAGGTAGTCTTTTTTTGGTGATCCATGTTGGGATGGGGGTTAGCAGGATCAGGAGAAGTAAGCCTGGGGTGGGGGGCAGCATGGTATAGGGTAAAGTCAGGGGCATCAGGATGGTGATGTGAGTAGGAGGCCTCTGGCTGGGGCCAGAAGCAAGTACAGTGTAAAAATATTCCTTCAGTCAAGCAGCAATGCCAACCTAAGACATTCTTTTTTAACTGAAAACGTTTTACTGACAACCAAACTTTTTACTTTTTTATTATGATTGATGTTAAACCCCTAAATTTGAACCCATCCCTTCTAACTGGGGTCTGGCAGCAGGGCAGGGCCTGGAAGAAGAGTTACATTTACATGATGTAAAACATATGTCAGTAAAAGCATGTGTCAGTAAAAAAGTTTGGCTGCCTGTAAAAAGCTTATAGTTTGTCAGTTAAAAAATGTTCTTTGGTTGGCAACCCTGATCCTTGTTCAGCATATAAAACTGCAGCAGTTATATGTCTTGGGAAGGGTTAGCCCTGTTCTTGGTTTGGACATTTCTCTTGTAGCAGTGTCTTGCCCCCGCTCCACTCTGCGTGGCCTAAGGCTGGAGGCCCACCCTCCCCACTACTGAACTCCTCAACACTGAAATAAATTATTACAGCAGCATAGGAAATGGAATTTGAATTTAATGGAAAATGCTGGTTTTTCATAAATAGTTTCCCTTCCAAATTGCAAGGAAAACAAAGTATCAACATGTCTATGAAATTTCCAAATTAAATTTTGGAAAGATTAGTTCCATTTCTATGAGATCAAAGTGCACCCTTCTGATTTCAAGTGATTTATTTTATATTGTCTTGTAATTTATAAATAACATTAAATGAAAAGTCATTTTGTTAAGAAAAATCTAAATTGTCCATTCAACAAGACTGTAATTAATCTGTCAATTTTAATAAGATAGTTCATCTCTTTTAGCAAGTGAAATTTCAGGGATTTTCAATTCATTTCCTCTGAGAGTTTAATTTTGATGAAATTACAACTTTTGATTGAGACAGTTTTCTGAGGTAAGTAGTCAGTCAGCTCTAGAGATTAGGTTCAACATAGATAAGCTTGGACAAAGACCCAGT